ATTGCACTTGCGGCCCTTTATTTACGTCCGACAAAGGTAAATACTTCTTGGTAATGTTAAATAATAATAAATCATAATCATGTTCCTCATCATCATCATCATCATCATCGTGGTCGTCTTCGTGTAATTAATTATTATTTAAAAAAAAAAAAAAAAAAAAACTCGGTGGTAAATGGTAGAATTGTCGTCCCGGAAAAAAAAAAAAAAAAAATGTCGTCTTTTGTAATTCATTTTTAAAATTTTTTATATTTATATAAATATATATATTTAAATTCATTGTGTTTATTTATTTGTTGTTGTGGTTGTGGTTGTTGTTGTTGTTGTTGTTTACATTTTTGTTTTTAGTTTGTTTTTTGTTTTTTTTTTTTTTTGTTTTTCGTTTTTCGTTTTTTTTTTTTTTTTTTTGGAATTTTTCTTCATTCGATTCGAGCGCGAGTGATTAGGTTAATTTTTTAATTTTTTTTTTATTTAAGAGATTTTCCCTTATTTAATATTTATTAATTATTATTATTATTATTTGCAAGGAAAGTGACTTACGCACACACGCACACGCACGCTGAAAAATTGAAAATTTTTAATCATTTATATATTTTTGGTCGAAAAGTTGACGCCATTTTTTTTTTTTTTTTTTTTTTTTTTTTTGTTTGCAGGACAGAGGAATAGGAAATATTAATGGAACTGGTCCTTTAGACAGTATGAGAAATTTGGAACATTATTTAAGGGATTTAATGAAAGGAGCCGGTGATGCTCCAGAAAGTTTAAAAGGTAAATTTTTGCAGAACATATCTATTTTTCTTATCAGGTTCGAAGATGTGGTGATGCCATTTAATTTTTTTTATAATTTTCAGTTGAAAGACCAGTTTTACCTGCGAATGCACCTTTAAATTCTCCCGGTTCCAGGTCATCGCCCAATAGTCAAAATTCAGATACGAATGAACGTTATTCCAGAAAAGTATTTGTCGGTGGACTTCCGCCGGACATTGACGAAGGTTATTTTTGATCATTATAACATTAATAATATTAATTTTTTTAAAAGAAATTTAAGGGATTTAAGGGGTGAAACGGTATTTAAGGGGTTAAGACAAAAATCCCGAGGGAATATTTGTAATTAGATGTAATTTTAATTATAATTTACAGATGAAATAACAGCGAGTTTTAGACGGTTCGGTCCCTTGATTGTGGATTGGCCTCATAAAGCAGAAAGCAAATCGTATTTCCCGCCAAAAGGGTATGCTTTTCTCTTATTTCAGGTACGTTTTAAATTTTAAATTGAATTGATTTTTTTTTTTTGTTTTGAATTAATGAAAAGTTAATTTTTTTTTCTTTTTTTTTTTTTTCGGCAGGATGAAAGTTCCGTGCAACAGTTAATTGAAGCTTGTATTTCTGACGATGATAAATTGTATTTATGTGTTTCTTCTCCGACTATAAAAGACAAACCCGTTCAAATCCGACCTTGGCGCCTCATCGATGCCGATTTTGTTTTAGACGCGTCAATGTCGTTGGATCCTCGTAAGACTGTTTTTGTGGGAGGAGTTCCTAGACCACTTAAAGCCGGTAAGTCACGATAAAAATTTTAAAAACAATTTTCGAATTTCTTTTTACTTTAATTGTAATTTTTTTTTTTTTTTTGTTTAGTTGAATTGGCAACGATAATGCATCGTTTGTACGGTGGCGTGTGCTACGCAGGTATCGACACTGATCCCGAACTGAAATATCCCAAGGGAGCGGGTCGGGTTGCATTTAGCAATCAACAAAGTTACATCGCAGCTATCAGTGCTAGATTCGTTCAACTTCAACACGGAGACATTGATAAAAGAGTAAGTTTTTCATTTTCTTTTTTAAATGTCTTACTAGTAAAGAAAATAATAATAATTTTTTTTTGTTTGGTTAAGGTCGAAGTTAAACCATATGTATTAGACGATCAGATGTGTGACGAGTGTCAGGGAAGTCGTTGCGGAGGGAAATTTGCACCATTTTTTTGCGCAAATGTCACTTGCTTGCAGGTTAGAACCGTTATCCGACCGTTAGCCGACAACGTTTTAGTTGAGTGCAATAGTTTTTGACGACGTGAAATAAACGTGTAAAATATTTTGGTTTTAGTATTATTGCGAAAATTGCTGGGCAACCATACATTCGCGGCAGGGGCGCGAATTTCATAAACCTTTGGTTAAGGAAGGAGCCGATCGTCCGAGGGCGGTGCCTTTTCGCTGGTGTTAACAAAGGGATTAATTAGTACCGGAGACAGCGTCTGGGACCGTAAGTTAAAAACGAAATACTCCTATTTCCAACACGTCACTACATCGCTTTTCATCAAGTTCCAGTATTACTATATTATACACCTTAGTTGATCTCGGGTTTATATATATATATACATACACGTGTATGTACACGTTCGTACGTACACACGTTTACACGTATATATATATATAAGCGTGTTATCACTTTTTTTTTTTTTTTTTTTTTTTTTTTTACAAGTATCGTCCCGTAAATGAAAAATTATAAATATATATAATATATTTTTTAAAAATGGGTTCCGGGGGAAAGAAGGGGGGGCGGGGGAAAATTCATTTTCTAAAAAAAATGAAAATCAAAAGGATTTTTTATATATATATATATATATATATAAAAATAATGGCGGTGTAAATGAATGAAACTTTTTTAAATAAATTTTATATATATGTATGTATGTATATATATATACACATACGTATACATACTCTCCTTATTAGCTGTCTCTTTAAATAACTTTTTTTAAAAAAAAATTGTAGGCAATTTTATTATTTTTTTGTTTTTTAATTTTTAACGAAAAAGGAAAAAAAGGAAAAAAGGAAAAAAAAATGGAAAAAGTCCTCCAATTAAAAAAAAAAAAAAAAAAAAAAAAAATATTTATAAATTAATTTTTCAATGTTAGTCACTTGTAAAATATTACTATTACTATTACTCATTATTAATATTATTATTATTATTATTATTATTAATTACTATTACTACTACTACTACTACTACTACTACTACTACTTCAACTTAAACTTCTATTCTAATTGCAATTTTCATTACCAAAATTTATTTAAAAACACCATATTTACCAAACTATATATATATATATATTATCGTTATTAGTTTGAATTGTTTCTGTTTAAAAAATTTCTTTATTATTATTATTATTATTATTACCATTACTATTACCATTACTATTATTATTATTTTTTTTTTTTGTTCGTATTTCTATATATTTTATTTTTTATTATTTTTATTATTATTATTATTTTTTTTGCGTTAAATTTTCTTGTTTATATTACTAGAGTTCTTTCTTTGTATGTGTGTGTATGTGTGCGTGTGTGTTAGACAGAGAGGGAAAATGATTTTTTTTTATTTATAATTAATGAATTATTTAGAATTCATTACCTTTGTTACCTAAAAAATTATTTAATATGTGAATTTATATATATATATATATATATATATATATGTATACATAAGTATATGTATATATTTATATTTATATTATTATATTTAATTAGTATAAAATTAAAACGACCCGGTAAAAAAATGTAAAATATTCAAAGAACAGGGTGTCAGTCAGTCAGATCGTTTTTTAATTGCTTAAAAAAAAAAAAGGCAGGAAGAGGGGGGAGGGGGTGAGGTGGTGTTGGTGGGGGAGTAAGTTTCGGGGAGAGGGAACGATAATGATTGTAGTTAACGGGAATGATGATTTTGATTCGATTTGAGTAAAGCTTCAGTACATATGTACATATATGTACACATGTGGACGATAATTTTATTTTGCTTATTTTTTATTCCGGAGTTT